CTTTCCGTGGTTACATAAGCATTTTATCTCTCATACATGAAAGTAGTTGGAAAAGAATTCTTATGACAACTAAACTGTATTCAAATTTGTATAAAATAAAAATTTTGTTACGTCAATGTACATTTCAGAGGTCATTTTTCATCCAAGACTAACAAAATAGATGAGGAAACAATGATAGCATTGGACAACTGCTTCTTCCTTGCTTAGAATTTTTTTTTTAGCTGTGGGCAACAACGATCCAATTAGTGATTGAAGTCAAAACCAGAACATCTCGTGATCAACACGATAGCTAACTAATATTGAATTAGGCATCATATATAAATCGTTAATCTTACATGTATTTTTTATATAATGATAAATTTTATTACATAGCTTGAAGTAAGAATAATACAGATTTTCTAATTTCGAAGTTTAGAGATCAATTGTCCTTAATTAAAGGATATGTCTTTCAATAACTCTGGAGTGAGTTTGAATCCCATTCTGTCCATTTTGTTTTGGATAACCGGTTGGGATCACAAAACCTTACATAATAGGTATTCCTCAAAGATGAATACGTGAATATTGATTTGATCCTTGAGTAATGTTAAAGTGATTGTGATTCTAAAGGAAAAAAACGTCATAAAATATATAGATTATGTGTAATAACCATTTTAAGTCAACTATGTTCATAATTCTCTAATGTTACAATATTCATAGAGAAAAGTAAATATATTTAATTGAACAAATGAACAAACATTCTGATGGCTTTATTAGAACAAACTTTGGTGTTCTGAAATATATTTCATCAACAGAAATTTTATCATTTTTGTTACAGTTCAAGAACATTAATCTTCAAATAATATATTCCAAATTCATTTCATGTAGTGCGCGTTGACTTCATCAATTAATTTCTGTCAAGAAATATCTGCATTTTTCTGCAAAAAATCTATGATAATTATGTAATATAATCGATCATAATTAAGAATGAACAAACGTACGTAGATATAAGTTGCTATATTTGACATTTACATGAGACAAAAAAATTGGCGAAATAAGAAGTTAAAAAGTCTAAATATTAGCTAAAATTCGGCACTTGTAGTGTGATGTGTGCTACTGATGTCCACAAATATAAGTAATATGTATTACCAATCGAAAGTGAAATACTTGGCAGTAGAATGTTGAGAAAATTGAAGGGAAGAGAACGAGGACATAGCGTGATCGATGTGAAAACAAAGGAGCAGTCAAGTCCGCGACAATTTATGGATATTTTTGTTATGGCCCGATAAAAATAATGAGTGGTAATTTTCAGGATCCATTTGTGAACCATTACTACACGTATATTTTACCGTATAATTGTTAATAAACTAAACTATTCTTATCGATTAAATGTTTAAATATTTCTATAACAGTCGATTGACTAACTCATCGACTAAATGTTTAAAAATACTTCCATGGCAATATCGATTATACACGTATAATTGATATATATACGTTTTGAATTGTGTTGTGTGATCTCTCGTTTCTAGCTGTTTGCAGAATATACTTCCCATTCCAAGCTTGGACTTCTCCCTTTAGTTAGCGGGGCTGAGACGCATCAAACAGCTAGCTTACTGGTCTTTGGTCACTGAGTCTTTGTTCTCGTTCGCAGATTAGGTGAACTCGTGATAGCTTCAAAACTAGCAATTTTGCAGATGAAGTATTGATTATATGGTTCTCAGATTTTACGACGATATTCGATAACGTTGTACTTAAACACACTTACTTATTCCCACTGGTGTTATCATTCATTATAGTAGTATATTTGAAAAAGACAAATGAAATTAATGGTTCGAATGTGTAGACTGTTATTAAATCTTAAAATTCAGGGAAAAATAAACACAGTATCGATCGGTATCATTGTGACCACTTTTTTATGTTTGTTATTTCCAGGCAAAATTATTATAAACTGATTACATTAAATAGAAAATTAATGTTATAAATTTTTTTACTTGTTCATTAATTGAATAATAGACATGAAAAGAAATTTGTTATAAAATAAATCAATCTATCACTATTCAGGTGATCATGTAGGAAATAGTTCAAATCACGGGAATTTTTATAAATATTATATACATCAACTGACTAAAAGTACTTTTTCTAAGGTTATACGTCTACTACTTGAAGGGTTTTTTTATCCAAAAGTTGGTATTTAACTTTATTTCAATGAATTTCTTTATAAAATATGCAGATTTATTATGGAAATAGTCATTTGAAATATTTTATTACTTATTTATTTAAACACATAATCAGTGGTACCAAGAGGCACCAAACAGATATGCACCACATAAATCATTCAATTTGTGTGACGGCTGGGATACTGCCCGGGTGCCCAAAACGAACTAGGTTGTATCCTTAGGAGGCCATACCCGGAGCCTTTGACCTTAAGGTCTGATCCACAAGGTAGTGGAGCAACGTCATGGGATGCAGTTCTATGGTAGTCAGTGACCAACGATTGGTTCACACGCCATTTGTTCCCTCAGAATCCTGGAGCACATGTGCACCATCAGAGTTTTTCAACTCCCCTAGGCGGACTCCCTGTGTCGACCAACCGGATTAAAGCACCGGATATTCACTTTTCGTTCTCTCGATTTCATAAACAACAGTAATGCCACGAGAAAGTAGTTAATAGGACTTCCCCAGCTGTGGTTGTATGCGCGTGACCATGTGAGAGCATTTCGAAAGGGAGAGTTAACTCTCCCCACTCTCGGTCATATTAGGGCGTTTGGGAGCAATGTAATCATTATTTTAGCTTTGATAAAGTAAAATAGTATAATTAGAATAACAAGTATAATTAGAGAATGAGGATTTATAGTATTTATTGACTCATAATGAAGTTGTACAGTTTAATGTTGTAATTGGATTATAAAATTCCAATCGAAATGATTTTTAGACCGAAATTTCAATATTTGCTTATAAAAATATAATAGTAGTACACTGAAAAACACTCATACCTTGAGTTGCATTTATCTACCTTTGATAACTGATACCAGTACCATATTATCTGTTTAAAGAGATTGGATTATTATCGTTAATGTTATGAGCCATTTATATTTCACGTATATAAATAATTTCAAAATACGTTTATTCTCTTGATCATATTGATAAATTCAAACGGTTAGACATCTTTGAAACTAAACTTAGAGATAATATTCTTGTTTTAATGAAAGAATGAATTTTATTACAAGCAAGTTGAAATAATCAGAGCAATATGTGTCTTGACTTCATTTATTATTCATTATTCTCAACTTGAGTCGATAGTTAGTAATATACTCAAAAGTTATTGATCTGAAATATCTGTATGAGATTTCTTAGACTGATCATTTGTTTCTTCACATCTTAATGATATTTATATTACGCTGATAAATCTGTAGATCACTAACGTAGATGATCCATATCGAATGATTGGAAGACTACACTAGTCAGACAGGAATGGTGCGACCAAAAGCTAACTTCCAAGTGATACCTCGCAGTCAGCACCTAATGTGGATTACCCCTTTTACGTATCAAGGTACTATGGCTGCTCTGAAGAGCGTATAACACAAAGGACGTTATTACAGAAATATATTAGTAAGAGTAGGTATAAGTGATAATGCGTCCACCACTGCGTTTGCCAGTTCATAACGTGCGATTAACTGATGCATATTGGCTATCCTTGACCTTGGTGAGGATCGATGTTCTGTTTGATATTCAATGATCCAACTGCTGGATGTTTTGGCTAACACTCAATGACATTTCACTGGCCGTTCGTTCTTTTTTTCATACATCACATCTCTTCCTGAATTTTTTTTATCCCAAAAATGATCTTCAATTTTCAAATAATTAGTTTGAAATTAAATCACTTGGTTACTAAGCCTTTTCGTATATATATATAAAATAAACAAACACATTAGATTTAACATTTCTGAAAATCATAATACCAAAACAAAGTACAGCGTTGATATGAATTACATAATTGTACATTTAATCAAATAAGAAATAAATGAACAACGAACAATCGTTATATTACTTACTTCTGATCAAAAAATCTCACATTTCAATCCAAAATTAATGTCTTGATCAACTTATTACATCACTCTGATTTATATTTCCTTTTATCATTTATCATTTTTAGGATGTGTGATTATTTAAAAAAACTTGAATAGTCTTGAACCTGTCCACTAATGAAAAAAAGCTTAATTCACTTTGTGAACTTACTACAAGCACAACAGGGAATGAAATAAGACTATCAAGACTTTGTTCTCGATTGTTTTTATGCATATCAACAGGAAATCATTTCAACATATTACTTCTAGACAGCTTGATAGATGATGATGATAATAATAATAATAATACATAGTCAATACTTACTATAGACAAACCATTTTTGAAAAGAATTCTAAGGATTCTTTAAAAAACTAACTTATAAAATAAAGAATATCAATGATTATTGACGAAGGGAGAATGAGTAAATTGACATTAACAAATTTAATACAGTGTAATTTAATGCATTTGTATACTGACTGTCTGAAAATCAAAGTAGCATTGAGTTAAAACGTATTTTGATGATTGTTTGATGTATATTCCCCTCTTTTCTTTCTGTAACGAATTTGTTTTTTTGTATTGAAATATAATTTCTATACGGAAACTTTTCAGTAGTCGAAACAAGATTTGAACACGTGACCAAACCGTTAAAAACTAAGTACTGTATAGTTATTGTTCATTTATATTCAAAGGAATGATGTAAACATGATAATAACAAATTGTAGAATGTATGACGTAATAATCAGTGAAATAACTGTACAAAATTTTAAAATAAAACTATGAGAAAAGAAGTATTTCTCTACTGAAATATTTAGTTTATTTCTTAAATGTGAACTATGAAATTCAATAGTTTACATTCCAAACTATTTGTATGTATTGCTGTATTATTTACAGTTATTTACATGTATAACATCATAATTAAACAACCACCTTTTTATTTACTTCAATAATCTTATTGATAGAATTGATACAGTTATGACTGAATTAGGCTGGAAACGTACATTTGATCGACATGGAGATTATACACTACGTTGGACAGAGAACAGTATTCAAATTAATTATGGGATATTTAAAGAAGGTGAACAACTTGTGAGTTTTTGTGAGTACATTAAAATGTGAATAAATATTTTAGTTAAAGTCATATATATATATATATATATATATATATATATATATATATATATATATAATTATAGAAGCACGTATGTTATTAAACTAACTATATTTTGTGAATTTGGTTCCTTTGAAGATAGTATTCACCTTCTTTAGTTAGAAATACATTTCTCTATTTATATTGGAGATTTATTTGGTCTATAAGGGTATGAGCTGTTATCGTGAACCAGCTTTCATAATGACCATTAGAACCTGTTAGTACTCATATTTTTTACAGCATAGAATGAATCAAATCATTAAATTAACTGAAACAATATTCAAACTTTGACACTGAGATAATGTAACCATAAGTTTAGGGTTTTGAAAGGGATTTCTCCTTTCATTTATCAGGGTGACTGAATTGTCATAAAATATATCGACATTTCTATCATGATTAACATGGTTAAATCCTGTCTATCGCTCGCTATGAAATATGGAGTATGGCTAAAATATTCATGGACACATCGACAATGCCGAAATGGTTATACTTTATGAGTACATAGGTTTTTCTGTGAAATACAGCTTAACCCAAAGAATGTCATGGAATATATTTGAAAAATCTTTGGAGTTAAATTTTTCAATGAAAAGTCAAATCATTTTTTATGATCATTTCTATCTATGAAGTCATCAACTTGAGTCACTTGCATGTTCAGTATTCAATATATTTTGAAATTAATATTAATGATGAAGATGAAATGATTTTGAAAAACACCACTTTTGTCATCTTATTAAGGTGAACCATATACCGAATTGTGGATTGCTTACAAATAAACTTGGATTATTAATAAGTCTTCGTGATTATGAAAGACGATATCAAAATAGATTTGGACGATTGCCTATTATGGTGATGGATGATTTCTTTCCAAAAACATTTATTGTTGATGATCCAAAGGAACGAGAAGCTTATTTTAAATTACAAGAAAGTAAGAAAACAGTTATATTTATGTGTATGACTATTTAATATTTTATAAAAAATCGTGTAATGAAACTGAATGGTGCATATAAGACTATGAAGTAATCTTGTTAATATAACTATGAAAAATGTTTTTTCGTGACTCGATCAAATGATTTATAAAACTATCTAAACTTAGTACATATCTATCATTAAAATTTACTTGATTTAAATTCTTAAACGAGCTATTTGACTTGGAGATAGTTGGTTTAGATTCACTTGCCAAAACATTTTTGCTAATAAATTAGTTTGATGTCTACCAAATATAGAAGTGACTACTGATATGAAAAGCTATATAAATTTTTATCGGTGAATTTCTTTTCACTAACGTTCATCCTTAGGATTAACTAAATGGTTCTTGATGGAACATGTTTATCTTGTTACGTAAAATGCTCGATGACGGCCAAAGTTAGTAACAAATTAAGAATATTAAAGTAGTTTTTAAAAATCAGGTACAATACTTGAGGCTCGGTATGAACCCATGAAGATTAATTATCAAGTTCAATGTTAATCACGTCTCAACATTATAAGAATAGGTTTCCTAATTTTTGATCTTTTAATTCATTTCAAAATCTTTGAAAAATCAACTTTAAACTGGTTATACTCATATCCATCATACATATAATCTTGAATTGTACATCTCTTTATACATCACACTTTCACCCTGATCAATCGGAACATGCATAGTTTATTATTGAATTTTTGACAAAACATAAACATCTGTTCATGTCTGTTTAGAGACTAATAGATTTACATTGTTGATGTCCATAGTATATAAAAGTAAATCTGTGTTTGTTTGCTAATTATCGTGTTATGTAAACAGTAGTTTGAATTACCTTCAAAAGCTTTAGATGAAACTTAACTTTATTATAAATTCTATTACTTACTGACATCACCTTTTATTCATTTTATTACTTATATTTAGTTTGCTATTAATTATTGAGAATATCTTTCGTAAAAATGGTAACTTACAATTAGCCTAATACATAGGTTCTGGGTTTGAGTTTTGCTTGGGGAATCGTGGATGCGCACTGTTGAGGAGTCCAATACTAGAATGAAATGGCCATCCAGTGGTTCCAGGTTTTCCATGGTGGTCTAGCTTAAGTCGATTCATCAATTTAACCAAATAATTACTTCAATCTCCACAAACCCTGTAATATAATTTATCACTATATTGCTACTTATAGGTTTTAATAAGGAACTTATGATACCAACTGATGAAGAAAAAATTAAGCATTATCTTTGTCAATTTGAGTGTGATGATATAAATAATTAGAAGTAAAGTTTCATATCTCTGCTGTTTATCAACAAGACATCTTTATAGCATTTAGTGTGGTGTGGGTTACATATATCCATATAAGTAGTATATAACAGTGGTCAGGCATAGAATGTATTTCAGTGGAAGATCGAGAAGGAAAGAACGGAAACGGAACGCAATTGGTATGAAATGCATGAACAATGAAATCTGAGATAATGCAAAGGAACAGTTAAGTTTGAGACGATGGATTGATATTTCGCAAATTAACTATGGTTCTCAGATTTTATTGAGATGCTCAGTAATTTCGTGTCTACTACATTCGATTGTCCCCACTCGTTTTCTTGTTCACTACATTAGCATTTAATTTAATTGAAAATGTAATAAAGAACCAAGAAAAATTGAAGATCAATCCTTGAATGACTTCGGTTCTATTCTTTGTAGAGTCATATGAATTAATCGTTAAAACATCTTAAATAGATGTTAAACTCTTCTAATTCTCATCTGTTCTTTAGTTAATTTGAGATTATCATAAATATTACATCTAAATATAATAAGGAATTATTTTCATTTTTAAATGTTATTTTCTTCAAAGATGATGAAGCACCACATATGTGGATATGTAAACCAATTGGTCAAAATCAAGGCAAAGGTATTTTTTTAGTAAGAGATATTGAAGAGTTTAAGGTACATTTAAAAAATCGAGATGATGAAGCACGTAATCAGCCATCCGGACTTTTACCAAGAATAATCCAAAGGTAATTTTATTTCATCTTTATTGTCTGATTATATAATTACTGAATTCGATTATCTTTGATTTTATTTTAACAAATAACAATATGAAGTAGTGAGGTTTGCGTTTTTCTTCTTTAAAGAAGATACAGATGTTGGAATAAATCATAATTTAATTTATTTAATCATAGAATAGATCTACTGATTTATGACAACTTGTATACTTTTTCTTTAAAGAATCAATTTCTGCTTAATTTAATAAGAGTTGAAAGTAAGTCAATTTACTAATGTCTTGTAAATGTTGGAAAAAATAGTTTATTGGAATGTTGTACATTGGAAATCTATGTGAATTATTTACTTGGGCAAATGATTACATTGTACAATTAGAGTAATATATTAAGATTAACATTTAGATATAGATATCGAGTTAGTTACTTAAATTACTAAGAAGTACGCAGTGAGTTACTAAAAGAAATACTTACCTGGTAGTTTACACCTAAACTACTTCAAAATTATAAGGTATAAACTACTGACAAACACTTGTGACATTCAAAAAATAAGCCCAAGAGTATTGTGTTAATTATAAACAATAATATAAGATAATTATATATAATATATTTCTGTAATTCACAGTGTTGGACGTGGGACGTATTTTATTTCTTATTAGCTAACAATTAAATCAAAAGAACAAGGGTACACTTATATTGAAACGAGATAATTTAAACTCTATAGGGAGATAATGGAAAATGTCTTAATTATTGATTACTAATGATAGTTATTGTAATTAATTTAGTCTCAAAAGTGTTTTGTTTTAATTGAAATAACACCAATAGCCGAAAAACCTGGTAAAACGAATTCAGATAAACCGAAAAGTGTGTCTATTTTTAGATTTAGAGATATGCCTTTATAAAAATGAATATAATATATACAGATATGTTTGTTTGCTTAGTATTTTGCATCTATATGGATACGTAACTATCATGAGGACTAGCATTATGGACGCTACTCACAAGATTGCTTGTAAGTAGTATGTGATGAAACGTGGCCTAGTAGCTATCACAGTCGACAGACGGATAAAAGTGTTTCAGTATGTCAAAAGCACAGCGCAGGTAGAACACTTGAAGATCAGAAGAGAAGACAAGTTGACTGATAGGACACAATATCGTATGCAAATTTATGATCGAGGGCTACTTGTATGTACTCTATAAACTCGTTGCCTTGTTCTACACAATTCTACATCAGATTTTATTCAGAAGTAAATCAACAATCATCTGATGTCACTTTCACTTGAATCTATAATTTTACATATACATGAGGTGGTAAATACATATGAAAGACAAAAGGCTTTCTGAGCATATCTCTGGGATCCTATGCCAAAAAAGGGAGTAAAATCTTTACAACTATGGTTGGCAGGAATCTTTCAGATAATGGAAATGAAGAAGACATTAGTAATGCATTTGGAACAGTTAACAAACAAACGATACCAATTTGTTCCGTTTTGTTGAAGCAATCGGTATCAGACGTTTCTGACTTGACGTATGTATACAGGAGAAAAGTGTAATTAGTCATTTTTGCCATGGTAACCGGGTACTAGTCAAATAATCATTATTAATTTTTAAAACCCCTCCCTGTATTCGTTGATTAATATTTGTTTATTATCTAGTTTTACTGATGTTCGCACATTTATTTTATTTCGTTTCTTGTCATGTTCAACGGTTGTGCAATTACTTATTGATTTCATTACTCTTACACAACCCTCTTTATCTTCATAATGGTTACTGATAATTATAACACCTGTTCAACTCTACATAACTGAATCCATCATACAAATACACATCTATCTTAATTATGTTTATTCATATACTTTGCATCCTATTCCTCTTATAACTATTATTTCGGTTGCGTTTCGGGCATTTACCTAACCTTTACAAACAACAGTATGTTAAACATTTGTTAATAAGTACATTAATAATTGTTATTTTAGACTGTATGCAGCTGACGAGAAGCCGTGGGCTAGAATGAATTCATTTTATTTTAAAAACCTTGTGGTTCTTGCTGTCTTGATATGATAATTATTGAAAACAGATTGTTTAACTACTATTGTGGTGTGTGCTACTTATATTGACATAAGTAGTATATGATGTTAGTCGTGAACAGAAGGTCTGGCAGCAGAGAGACAAGAGGATCGGACAGTAAAGAATGGAAACAGGATGCAATTTGTATGAAAATGCAAGAAGAATGAAGTCTGAGTCATTTTGAGACAATTAGTGGACATTTTGCAAATTGAGCATTTACTTTATGGTTGTTAGATTTTAGTAACAGGTCCTGTAATTTCGTGCTACGTACACTCGATTGTTCCCATCGGTATTCTGTTCACTACACTATGAATATCATTTAAGGGATTACAAGTTTAAGATAATAATTATTGGCTAATTCGCGTGCGCTGTATGCTTCATCGTACAAATAATAATAAGAAGAATGCGAAGGCTGCCTCAGTGTGAAATTTGCTTCAATTGACATAACAGGACCTGTTGTAATCAGGAACATTGTGTTATTTATGTAAACTAAAGTATTCTAGATATTTGTTGTTTAAATCAGTACTGCCCTAGAATTATTTGTAATTCATTTTCTACAAAAGTTGTGTTCAGGGTTTACAAGTAACCTGTTTTATCCACTTCAGGGTCTCTAGTGATTATTTGACTTTGATAGTTGTTGGACTCAATAATAGTCTATTATTTAATTAGTAGTATGACAATGCCACATGCTATTTTTGTAACGGCTGAGAATTATCATATGAAGATGACTTTTACTTAGCTTAAATGGTTTTCAATTTTTATTCAAATATTCTATTGATTGTTAAGTGATTTTCATTCTTTGCTTGACGATAATAACAACAGAACAGGTCACAAAAGATTTATGTGTTTCTGAAAAATCCCAGCCATGCTTAAATCTATACGTATTGACACAGTTATTGCTTGTTTACGGGCTACATAATTATTGTTTCCTGGAAAATTACAATACATAATATTATACTGTTAACTAACATTTGAACCGGTGTAATAGTATAGTAACAAAAGAATTCGATATTGGACAAGATACTACTTATCTGTTTATACGTTTATTTTAAAATATATTTCAGATACATCATCAATCCCTTATTACTTGATGGTTGTAAATTTGATATACGATGTTATGTTCTTATAGCCTGTACAATGCCTTATTTAGTATTTTATCATCCTGGTTATATTCGACGTTCTGCTAAACCGTATTCAAATCAAGATCAAAATCTTATAACACACTTGACTAATCAGGTAAGTTGACAAGAAGTAAATAATTTTTTTTCATTGATAAATATTGATTTTAATATATCCAAAATTAAAACCTAACCAAATTTGTCGCTGTTGTAATCCAGACATAATGCATTAGATTATTATTCCCAATGAAGTAAAACAACTATTCTGGATAGTGATATAGTTTAATCTGTTGTATTATTAAGAAATTCAGAAGGAAACATCGGACTATACTAAATAATGTACGATCTAATTGTTTAATTCAGAAATATTTTTCTCGTTAAATAAAAAATGCTGAAGGACTTTTGAAAGCTCATAATCACTGTGAACACTTCGTTAAAAACTTCTTAGTTGTCTAAATTAGAGTGTTCAGAAATCATCAGTAGCTTGAAGCTGTTAATTATTTAAACTAAAACTTTATAATCTGAATTCATGACTTTATTCAATTTATGAGATAGTACGATAATCATCTAACACTATCAGGTTCAATACTCTACCTACGTTATGATAAACTCCACAAAACAATAGTTTTTACTAGCAATTTAGTGTTAAGGATTCGTGTCCATTGAGTAAAGTTCAACATAAGTATTAAATAACTGTTTAGTAAATCCTGGTAATCAAAATACTCACTGGCTGATATGGATCTGTATTGGAAAGTAATATCTTTATTCTGTATGTTAGTTGCTAACAGCGTGTCATTTGGATGATACTACTATCTTCTAAAGAAAATAGATACTAAGTTATGTGTTTGATAAAATAAATTTAATGAATAGAATAATAATATGATGTTGTTTCATTAACTGTTTTTTTTACTTAATTTATCAGTTTGTTCAAAAGAAGGATCCAGCCTATGCAGAAATAAAAAATAACACAGTTTGGAGCTGGTCACAAGTTAATGACTATATCAATAAACATTATCAAGAAGAAAAAAAATTACCAGTTGATTGGACTAAAACAGTTCTTCAGGTAGTTTTCTCATGATTATTCATCTACTTTATTCAATAAAAGTAATGCATCCCACATTCACAGAAGAAATAAATTAGGTTAAATTCTACAATCTGCCTATTGCCTATAATAATGAGTCCCGACCGTAGTTGCTACCTTGACGAGACCGTCGGGCTTGCCTATCGTGATGACCTAACCGAGCTATATTGGCTGAAACATATGTTCCTGTATATTTTACCAATGCCAGGCAGGTCGATTGGAAGACGGTAAGACTAAAAGCAGAAACTCAAGTTCAGGGGGTGAAGTCGTACCACTGACTGTAGAGGGATGTGACAGCAGTAAGGCGTTTCCATTAGACAACCAGCATCTGTAGCGATGCTGCCTTCTCACAAAGAAGGAATGGGTTAGGAAAGGTCAACCCTAAAAATCTCACACATCACCTTACCTCACGGATTTTCATCTCCGGCGGTAAGGCTCTTTGAAGAACGAAGCCAATCCGCTAAAAACGTCCCACAATAAGGTCGTGAGCGACCGATCTCAGGCAGTTGTCCCTTGTGCCCAGCGGTCACGCTCCCGGGTCGTTAAGACCATTACTAATCCAACTTCCCTTTTAGGTTCCTCAAGAAATACCCTTGCACGATGTGAGCAGCTGGGAAGTGACATTAGCCCTCATACCCGTTACAGCACACCAGATCAAGTCGGTCGCATTCAAATCCTTCCTACGCCTCCTAATAACTCTCTTATCTCCACGACTAACCCTTGCCACGTTCCTTTATCACCTCCCGCCGCCAATGCAAACCATTCGAGTACTCGGAAAGTTATTCTCGTCTCCTGATACCATGCTCCTGACTGACTATAATAATTAGTAAAATATTTGAAATTGCAGTTTTAGTTTGCTAAATAATAAAGAATGGCTAACGATTGTAATTCCTTGGAATAATTTTCTTCTTGAATGATGTTATTAATTCAAATACACAAATGATATATTTTACACTAATAGCATGGGCACAGAATCAATTAGTTATATGCTAACTACAAACCCTCTCGAACATTGAATCATAGAATAGTAGAGTTCCTTAACTCAGACTGTAGTTGAAGCCTCATCTGTTGATTTATTCAAAAGAAATTTGTATCTATTTAAAGACCATTATCATAAGATTTAAGACAGGCCCTCTAGCCTCCTGTTTTTCTCAAATGCAACGTGAAACTTACCCTTAATATTTGAAAACAAAACATTTTAATTATGTCAATAAATCACTTACGAAAGATAACCAGTTTCTATTTTAATTTATATTATTTTATTATTCTTAATCTAGTGGAAGATTCAGAGAATTATTCATCATGTATTTACTACAGTTAAAAATAGATTAGCCGCAAAAATTGGATTTTTTGAATTACTTGGGTTGGACTTCATGTTGGATGAAAATATGAAAGTAAGTTGTGAATACTGTTAGAAAGTAGTGGAAAATTTTCCGATTCATAGGTTAAACTCTTGCTTCTACTCTGTAAATCATTTTTATCACAGACAAACAACGTTTATAAAATCCTTAGACCTTTGTTTTGTCCGGTTGTTTGTATTTATTATTAAATTTATTGACCTTAACTGGTTTATGAGCAGATGCAATGACTCCATCTAGATTCACAAGTTGATTATATTCAGGATAATGTCAAACGAAGAGAACCAGAGTAATTAGAAATCTATATATCATAAAGATATGAGTGATAACCCAAGAGTCTACTAGATAAAGCTACGGATTCTGAAATGAAGAACATTGTTTTAGTGATAGAAAAATAAAAGACAAGATATAGATCTATTTTGACTAATAAGTTTTCAGCATGACAAAACTGGCTCTTTGTAGTTGCGTTTGCTTCCTATGATTAAAATTTCAAAAACAATGTTACTGTTGTTTAGTTAAGAAAACTCCTTCCAGCTTACCAGTTGGAACCATCTGATGAATGGACAAAGGAAACTAGAAGTTTCAAGATATAAATCTTTTATTCTCAGACAATCGCACTATTGGACATTATTTTGATAGTGATTGGTTAACGGTAGTCGGTAAGAAACCCTTTACCTGGGTTAACTACCGGTTAGCACATGTTGGAAAATTATGACTGGAATATTGATGAAACTGATGAAGATCACTAGAATCAAACTCTCATCACCCACCTACACCACTGAGCTATTCACTCAACAATTGACGTCCGTGTTGTATTTGGAGACCCTGCCTTTCCCTTTGTGTATGTTGAGGCCTACAGCTGCAAAGGTAGTCGATTAATCAATATAAGTTATGGACCATTGTTTATTGAGTTGTGTAGATAATATTCGAAAAACGGGAATTACTTCAAAGCTTATTACCGGTGAATACTTTGGCAAATGCCCACTGAACTCATTTTAGAATTTTTGTATATTAGAAAACTGAAGTGACTGATAAGCTTGTTTTTGATCTTATGTAAATTATGTGTGATTACCTGATACCGTTGCATATAGAAATGATTTTTAAAACTCACTCTATCATCACTCGTGATCATATACTGTTTCATGTCTAAACTAAACAAGAATAACTGGATATCACGAATATCTTTGTGTTTTCCAGCCACATCTTGAAACTGACCATAAAATATATTGAGTATAGTAATACCATAATAAATGCAGACAAAATTTCTTTCTTGTTTGTGGCTTACTAGTATATCTTCATGTAAAATTAAGGCATTCTATTTACTTAAAATCTTAATTCGTTGTCAGACGTTCGTGAAATTCGGGTAAATTACCCGTAATTACTTGATATATGTAATCGTTAATTTAAGTTTGAAGAATATAATTAACAATAAAGTGTGGGTCAAATGAGTAATCATATAAGAAAATCATTCAGTTTATTACTTATAGTAGCACATTAAAGTAGCGAGTTCGTACCCATTTGAAGTTCTTACATCCTCGATGTTAAGATATCCCACATTGGGCCAAAACTGTTGGTTAGTACTCTTAGTGGCTCATATTAATTGGTATTAAGAGTAACCTTTAAGATTAAAAAGGTTTATTAGATTTTAATGTTGTACCAATGATATCCTATTACTAAATGGTATTCATGAGTAATATTTAATCATTTACAGGTGTGGCTACTTGAAGTTAATTCAAACCCAGCATTACAAACTCATTGCGATGTATTAAAAGAAGTTGTACCAGCTGTAGTGAAAGATGCTTTACGTAAGTTGCAGCATGAATATCAAAAAAATTTAATTATTAAAAAAACACATGGTATTCAGTGTAATACTTTTATTCAATATAAAAATAAATAATAGGACCATAATGTGATAAGGTAAACATCATAACACATGATAATAATAGCCGGTTTCACTGATATCGAAATATATGGCGAACGATATTTAAGGAGTGTCCTCTATCTAACATCAGTTTTCATCACACTAGATGGCATAATTGACGGAATTCTGGAAATGTGCACTACTTGATTTTAATATGGTGGTTTAAATGTACTATGTCCTTGTCAAGACTCCAAGGTTTTTCATTTGATTCAGCCTTTGATCATTATCATCTGGTATTTCGAATACTCGACTTAAAATGAAATAGCAATCGACTCCTTTAAGTTTGCAACTGTACTTCAACTTGCATCATTTTCTAAACACTTTAATATAATAAATATCTATCTTATTATGAACAGATACTGAAAACATTTTAGGTGGTTTCCTGTTATCTTCACACTGAGGGATCAGTGCACAGTATATAAGCTCTGATAAATGTATTTCATAGGGTCAGAGGGATAGGTAAATGGATTAAAGAATAAAATATATTCTCAAATAAGCCATCTTTTCAGCGGACATGTTTTTGTGAATGTGGAGATAACATTGCACACTATGTTTGTAAAATATAAAGACCAAACACTAAATACTTCATTTGCAAACTTTTAACATTCGCCCTTCACAATTTGTGTGATTCTCCCAGTCCACAATTCCTTTATACTTTCTCTTCTACTCTCTTCAACTCAATCTTCTTGACTTTTTTTGCTCGGTTTTCCACTTCCGATTAGTGTTACATATTATGTACGTCGTTAGACATAAGTAGCATGCACCACAATCTGACTAAATTATTAGTATGGTTGCTTTCTAAGAAGAATGAATCAATAAACCCTTGAAAATACAAGCAAATACATGCAGTCAAAGTTTTCACACTGTTTCATCTGTGAAATGAATATAATCTTATCATTAGTTATGAATGTGTTTGTTATTAAGCACAGAGAATTACTTATCTCTCTCAAATTTATCAGAAAAGAGTTGTGAGGGTTGTAGAAATTCCTTAAAATCATGAACATAAGTTAAATCATCATATAAAACCTTAACGTGAATGAAGACTTGGTATAGAAAACCAATTTAATGTTTAACGCAAAATTACAGAGTGCCTTCGCAAAATATAAAAATTATACATTAAATATATTATTTGCACATTTTCCTTCAGTTGTCCTTTACATACATCATGAGTCTTTCAATTCTATTGTTACAACAATATCTCTCTGTTTGCATTCCTGTTCTTTTCAATTCTACTGCCAGGTATTCCACTTCTGACTGATGTTCCATAGTACTTATAGCTGTCAACTGTTAGGGATGCAGAGGAATATACCAATCATTATCATGTTAAGTCTAATGATGTCCTTGGACTTGAGATGGTATCATTTCCTCATTGGTTAATGTTTATTTCACGTGTCATTTTCCTACTGGTCAATATTGTACAAAATGTTGTTTTCTATTTTATGGTACGATGTGGTATGCTTGATTGGTATTTTCCTCTGCATCCCTAACATCAACATAAGTAGTGTACAACACACCTGGAAGCACCGGATAACCATACTAGAATGAAATGACCTTCCAGTGCTTCCAGCTTTTTCATGATGGTCTAACTCAGATAAGTTCGCGATTTGAATGAATCACTCAGATTTACCAGACTTTATCATAAGCAACGTTGATTTTAGGCGTTATTCATTTTACCAATCTTCATTATAATTATGGATTTAGAATCGTCAATAAATCTAACGTATTTATGTTCTTCGATTTCGATTGTCTACCTGTAAATATTTCCGGACCAAATTATCAGAATTGTTCCAAGCTCATTCGAATTTGAAGTATTCGACAATAATGTCAACTTGAATAACACTGGGTACTTCACAGTTAGTTTATATAGCATAACACCAACAAAAATATTAACTAGAAAATACACATTTTCATTACATAAATTCATTCTTTGGAGACATATGAGCAACAAATACTTTTCGATACTGATGATCAAGTTGTCAGTCATTTGTTAAGAGTAAAATGACAAAGACATAAAAAAAACAGATATGGATAATAATCTCGTCCTTATAAGTAGTAGGTGCAGTTTAAATAATCACTATTTTTACTGAATCATATATCAGAAATTGATAGAATCGAAATGGAAGCATGCGAATAAAACTAATAACGATTGTAATGAAAATACTAAAATATCATACATGTGGCTGAATAGCATTTATAGTCTGTTGCATAATGAATTATGTAATATCATTTATTGGATTAATCGAGAAACAATATTGTTGAATAGCCTATGAATACCAAGGCAGATCAATAATTCATAAATAACATGAAAAGACAAAAAACATGAAGTGAACACGGAACATGAATATAAAAGTAGTAATGATAATCACGATCAAACTACAAATGAAAATCATATTTACACTTGGACTATGTGGCCTTAAAAATAATACAGAATTACAGTGACCTTGTGGTAGGTGAAGGCCACCAAAAGATACAATAAACTGGACAAAGGTTTTTCAAATATATGAAGTTAATTGCTGATAACTCTATTATATTTAGTAAGCGAAGATGCTTAAATGCTTCCGAAAATTATTTTTAGAGGATTTACCCGACTTTATTTACAATCAAGTTTCTAAGTGTGACTGGAACAATTCGGTGTAATACTAAAAAATACATAACTGTTGACCCATTATGAAGAAATATATTTTGCATTGTTTATTCTTTTGTAGATATCAGTATTGAATGTTTTGAGAAAAGTCGTCATCAAAAGTGTTTACTTCCACTACACGGTCTTGACAATTTATCTGCTTTCATATTTTGTCAACGAAGTAATAGACATATGAGAACAAGTTTAGATGAAGTGCCGATTGTGAATAAAATCAGTGGTGATTTAGGTGTACCAACTGGTTGGAATCTATTATACAATGAATCACAAGCTGCATTTCGTGCACGTTGGCCAATACTCCAATCATGTAGTCTTCGTTGTTGGATTCCACCTAGATATAAACCACCTATTATTCAGAATAATCCTAACTTACAACGGCCTGTTAATGATAGCAATACTGAACAAAACAAGTTGAATAGTGTATCACTACAAACGTGTGGGTCAACAGGTGCAACCAACGAAAATGTAAATATATCAGCATTTCATACTACAGATATAGTTAATTGTACTTTAAAAGAGCAAAATACTTCAAAAAATACTGTATCTAATCAATTTTTCCATCCACGTTTATCTTTACCAGAATACCGTACCTTTGGATCCAGTTTAAGACGATACCCTGCTACGCCTAATACAATTAATAACAAAATGTTACCAAAAAGAAATACTTTGGTTAGACAATCATTACAAAATTCAAAACAAACTATTAATTTACAAGATATCATTGAGAAGATTCCCCAACCAGAGTCATTTATTACTGTGAAACAACCTGAATATCAAAATAGGACAATCAATACAAATAGTAGTAATAGTAGTAATAGTAACGATACTAGTACTAAGAATATTAGTACCATTAATAATAATTATAAGGGTAGACGAATAACTATGAATCATGAAAATCAATCTAGAAAACAAATAATATCTAATCTATACAATTGTACAAAGAATAAACATGATTTGGAAGTGTTCAGTGAAGATGAAATATTAACTGGTAAACGAAAAACTAAAACAAAATTAAATTTAATATCAATCCATAGAGAACCTGTACAAATCAATAAAGTACATTTAATAACTAATTCAGATATTGACAAAGTATTCAATACTACTACTAATAATAATACTAATAGTAATAATAATAATCTAAAAAAGTCAAATGATAATAACATAAATATGATTCCACCAACTACACCGAAACATATTAAATCAAGGAATCAATCAATACGAATTGATGGAACATCAGCTGATCATATACATAACAATATTGATAATATTCAAAATAAAAGTATATTAACTGGTAGACCTTATATTAATCCAAATAAACTACATTGGATTGAATCAAACGATTCAAATACCCATTATTCATTAGAAGACAGAGGAAGTTAATATAAACACAAGTTATTTAGAACTAATTTATAGCCACTATTAAAAACAATGGTATTCCATGTTATGATCAAGATTATTACAATTTTATCTTTTAATTTATTATTAACCAATATTTTCTAGTTGTTTGTTTGTTTGTTTAATCTTTCAATCGATGTACTGTGAGCAATTGTTTTCTTTTTCTTATTCATTGAGTATCGCTTGTGATGAAACGTGTCTGTTTGTTTATTTATTTGTTATTTGTAAATAAGTCTGTTGATTGGTATACATGTATGTGTGTAGTGCTGGTGGTGATGGTGGCGGTGGTGGGAGGTAGGCCTGAGTCTAGGCATTTATTATTTTATTTTCTATGTTATTTTTGTCACTTCAAGAACAACAACAAACTATTGTATTTAACCAACCATATATTTTCAGCCAGTAGTTTGCACTATCTTAAATATGTATAATTGTTGAATACGACATAGATTATAGTGAATAGTTCAATTCAGTTATTTTCTATTCATTTCTTGCTAGTTTTAAGCTATATGGAGATATACTGGTGATATACGGTGTTTATAGTTTTGTGTGTGCATGGTTATATTTACGTTGTGAATTGAAAAGATTATATTCATCATTTGTTTATTTCATCTCTTGGACACGTGTATATTAAATATGTCATGTGAATTCTTCTTCTTCTTCTTCTACTACTACTACTACTTATTATTATTATTATTACTATCATTGTTATGAAGAAATACTTTTCCAAAAGGACAACTAGTAATTTCATTGTTTATAATCACATGTATTTTTTGGGGTTCCTTCTTTTGTGTTCCTGATTTTGTGAACTCTTGATTATTTTCTGGAATATTTGTGATATATTGATAATTTCTTGTGTATTTAATTCAATTTATTTGCTATTTTTAATAAGTGAATAAGACATTTATTGGAATTTTTGATAATAGTTCAATCTTTATTAGTTAGAACAATAAAGAATGTTTTCGATGTAAGACTTGAGCATGGAAACGAATCTATTGTACTCAATGAAACTTTTTGTTAAAATTATCAATACTGTTAATTATTCGTAAAGATTTACACTTTACCAGTCGTCAAGATTCAAGTGTGCATTTGATCAGCTTATGAAAAATATTGATAAACGTCATAGTCATTGGACAAGTTTCTTGTTATAATGCATAAATATAACCGTTTTCTAACCGTTTTTATTGCTAAGGGCTGAAGTTTGGTAGTATTCTTTTGGAGTATATGCATTCTGAGAGGGTTGCCTTCATATTCCTAATAGGTCATAAATATTTTAAATAAAGATGGATAGTGAATAATATAAGAACACAAGACGGTCGTCTCGTCCTATCTGGGACTTGTTAGTTGGATATACCTGTATCATAGCGATGACAGTTTATCCAGAATGAAATGCACCTCATGGATTCCACTACTAGCCACTGTTTATCTTTATTTTAAAGTTTTATTTCTATTTCGAAAACATTTATAATTAATTAGCTGTAAGTTAAACGTAGTGTAATTACTTGCTCTTTTAATCAAACGTAAGAAACTGATCTTCATTCTTAATGACATTAAAAACATATTATTATTACTATTGTCAGTGTAAACAATCTACTAGATTATTAACTTGTTTGAAATGATTAAGTCAAACCTTAGTAATGATATTTATTTGACTTTTGAAAGGATTCAAGTCAGCTAAGTTAACAATATTCAGTGAATAAACCAAAACTCACTAGCCTTATTTCAGTTTATATGATAGAAAAAGGATGTGCTTAATCTGTGTAGATGAAACTTGGTATATACCTACGATTTTGATTCTTTCAATGAAACCTGTTTCACCAAGGGTTAATCTTTGTAGTCTGAATTTTAGTACAGCTCACAATTTAGTCAGGATAATAGCACTTGAAGCAATTTTATTGATTATATAATTTGTCGTATAATTCATCTTAATTTCATTTGTTATTTTTAAAGAAAACATGTGAATTTACCAAGAAACGAAAAACTTTAAGACTTCAGTATTATTTGATCATAACTAATTGGTTAGCAACTGTAAACTAAAATTAGTTTTCAACCAACATACAACAAAAAGACACAAAAGGTTATGGTAATCATCAACTAGTTTCACAGCCAGAGTACTTACTACTAGGCTTCACATGAAACAAGTAGCTTATCATATAACTAAGCAGAAGATGCGTACTAAGGTATGGAATAATGAGAATCAGAATAGAACAAGGCATATCATCACAAGGACAATTTGTCTTTGTTTGTTTACCAATATTTTTTGGTATTTTTGTGGAGGCCCGTGAATTATGTCGTTGTTTAGATCGGACGATGTTGTCGAAAGGGCTCTCCACTTTAGTGGCCCGTGATCTGACTCCAATTAGATCGTATGAATGTTTGTTATCGCCTATCCTCGTATATAATCATCGACTTAAATCGCGTTAGTCAATAACGGAATTAAATAAGTCAAATAACGAGAATGGACTAGAGAGAAGAGTAACGGAGCACAGTGGAGATAGCAGGTAAGCCATCTCCCATTTTACCAAGCATTAGTCGATACTTATAGTTACACAAAAGTAAGTTACAGATATGTGATGAGTAAAGGGATAAGAAATGTACGCACACCTACGCGCTCATATAAAAACAATGAAGATTGATAAGCGAATAAATAACAAGGTCAGAATGTGACTCAAGTAGAATGAATAGAATGGGCTGTCCGAAAGCTAAAATAAGGTATATGAGCTTAATATAATAACTGACACTACAGTATCACTTTCACTTTTTACTTATTTTTTTAATAAAACATTTTTCTATCGCAAAGTTAGCTTACAGATCTAATCCAAAATACTATGAAGTTAAAAGAAATCCGAATTCCTGCTAAGCTTTTTATTTCATAGAATTTTATTCATTTTCACCAGTTTTCTTGAAACCTTAATAATGACGCTATGTTGTACTGCTTTTTTAAAAAAGACAAAAACAAATATTTTGTTCCACTATTCAACATTCCATTATAATGTAATTCAACTATATTGATTAGGAATGAATTATTTTTTTGTAGTGTGTTTGTTTGGCTTTAATCATCATACAATCTGATAGAGTGATTTAGTTCTGAATGGGAAATTATTATTATTATTATTATTATTATTATTATTATGGATAATTTATGTTTTGGAATGGATATCCATTAAAGATCTGTTCAAAATGTCAAATATACTTCATTCTAATTTTTATCTTTACAAGGTTTCTTAACCATTAAAAATAAGTAAGAAAAATACTTAATATTATTGAACCAGAAAATAAAATTAATCGTTTAACAATTCATTATAAGCAAAGATATGTGATGGCTAGCAATGAAGTTTAGAACGCGCGTTTTGTCTTATTCGGGACTCATCAGCTGGATATACCTGTATCCCAGAGTTGTTGTTTATCTGAACATTTGTAGCAAGAAATTTAAATGGATTTGAATCTATTAAATTATTGGTTTTGTGATTTATGCAAATGATGCTACATTTTAGGTCATATGTCAGTTGGTTCTAATCACATTCAATAAAGAATTAAAATCATTTCACTGATGTTATTTTTACAAACCGAATCAAATTAAAGAAGCACAGTGAATGGATGAGAAAGATTAACTTATTGAACTAAAACATCTAAAGAAAATTTGTTTTCATTATTTGACACAATTTCGATGGTTAGTCAATTCGTTTGTAGAGAGTAGTAAATTTTAAAGATTCTCATCACTTTCTATATCAGATCCATTGTAGTTGAAAAAGTGAAATATGAGACTCAGAATAAGTTGTCTAAAGGTTACTTATTCACTGTAAAACGTGTTTTACATTCCATCTAGTGTTGAATGGTGAGTGTGTACATCTGTAAAAGTTTTAAAACTGGGACAAAAACACTTATCCAACATGTTTTTCTAATTTTTTGTAGTTTTCTAGGTGTTAACAATTCCCGAAGAAAAGTATTTTCAAGCTTTTTTTTATTCAGTAACATGATACACTACTTATTGTCTGTCAAACTAATGATGTTATTAAATAATTTTGCGAAATTAAGAGTAATCACTTTGAATGTTTAATATTGCTTTGCCTAATGAATATTTTAGCCTTATTTATATTCATCAAAACAACTAATCAAAATACCATTCATTCATTTATTCATTTCATATTCTGATAATCTGTATGTCATTCATTTTATTTATTACGTCATGGTTGTTTTCACTGTATAGTTTTTTGGAGATTTGTAATTAGAAGCAAAAAGAAGTAATAGTCTGCTTATGAAATGATAACATTTTCAGTAGTGATAGAAACTTTCCAGGGAAAACTTTGATTATTTTCGTAGATGATCTTGTGACTGTCTAAATAAGTTTTGTACTAGAACAATATTCTGTTGCTGTGATGTGAAAAGACTTAATCATAGTAGTGTTCCGCTTTAGCAAACAATGTTGTAAGAGATAATATATTTATAACTAAACCTTAGCCATCCTGTTGGTAGATACAATGAAAGCACATATTTAGGGATCAAGGAAGTAGCTTCTGTGGGAAAAGATATACGATTACATTACATTTTGAATCATCGTTACTGACAATAATTTAGTATAGTGAAATCTGTGATCTTAAATAGAAAGTGCGAACATTTCCAAAACTAGACAAATCCTCGTTCGTGGCACAATGATGTATTATAATGGTTTTGCAGTAAACAGATTTATACGAAACAAATGGTGTTAACCTTTCAGCTGTTTGGAGTATTCTTTCAAGTTAATAGTTGGAATGAACAAGTCACTCTCCTTCAATAGTTCTCTGAGAAAAAACAAAACAACAGTCCGTAGGAACAAATAAAATAAAATACCAATAGTTGTACATTGATTATACTCACTACACGAAGACTTTGCAATTTAATAGATAATATGAGTGATTAGATGTGTTATCAGAAGGGATGTTTCTGCGGCACTACTTCTAGAAAGCAACTTTCATCAGCCAGAGGTTTTCCTGAATAAGCTCTAAATGATTTAAACAATAGACACACTATTTTCCAACCATGTTAAAGAACCCTCTACTTTTAGTTAAAAATTAAATTCAGTTGTTTTTACTGAAATCGATTTCCTGAACTAGCGGACAGATATGAAACTTAAACATTAATAGAGTTCAACGTAATCCGCTAACTGGTCCTTAAAATGGGCTGTTGATAATATTCTATCGATCATCATAATGTTAATTTAGTGTTTATTTTCTACAATATTTAAAAGAACTGTTAACAAGGGATACGTTAGATGTTTTTTGTAAGCTTGCATCATTTAAAAGACAGTTTTATTTAGTAAGGGCCTTTCTACCACTAGATAGTCATGCAATATAGCTATTTTGATCAAAAACATACCATATTACTCAAATTGACGTTAGTTTTATTAATAATAGCCGTTTTGGTGTTGTTCTACTAACTCGGCTGTAAACGCGATTAAATGACGATGGGATTGAGCTTAGTTTGTTTATATGACTGAAAGTTTCTTTAGTTAGGTTACTACGAACTGTATAGCTCAGAAATAAACATAAAATTTATACACAACCCTTCGAGTTTCTCAATATCATTAGATTAGTTGACTGCAAATTACATTAAAATATGGTCAGTAAAGTCGATAACAGCTGATATTAAAATTACTCGAATTTATTAGCTAAACGGTCCGATACTTAACACTGTAA